CACACCTGATTCAAATGATCAGATCATCAGCAAGCTCTGCGCAAGCCTGACATTGAACCTGTTCATTTGAATCAGGTGTGTTGCAACAGGGAGACTTGGAAAACATGCAGGACACCGGCCCTCCAGGACCGGAGTTTGACACCCCTGCTTTAAAGCAACGTATAGTTGAGCACAAAGAGTTGAGGAACACATAAAGACAAGTGATGTAACAATACCGAGACATGCATTCCTTATCCTCTGCAAAGAACAACATCATGAGAGGTTGAAACCTCCTCTGTGTACAGTATATCTGTATGTCTGTACTGTACTGGAACAGATTAATGTCTTTTCCTTTCATTTCAATGGGGAACAATGACCTGGGATATGATTGTTTTGAGTTACAAGTGTAATCACTGAATGATGTAAACACTCCGACCCAGACCAATGTCACCGATGTCATATGTCACACCACTAGGCCACACCTCTTAAAAGCCTCTTAAAGGCTCATGTGTGTAGACAGACACTAAAATGCAATTTGTAAATTCCGTACATTTTAGGCTTAGTTATTTTTTTGTGTTGAAATATAATTTCATTTTGTTTCTTATCTTTATTTACCGGCATTTGTTTTATTAACTTTAAATGTCTTTCTCTATCAATCCAAATTCTGTGTGTGCGTACAAATGTGTGAGTACACGTGTGTGTACACTGTCCCCAGTTCACCCGGCGAGGTGATTATGAGTTAGCGAGGCAGGCCATGATGCGCTTCACCTCTCCATGTGCACCTCAGAGCAAGCTCGGTTTCCGCTGAGGTGTTGATTGGCTTTCGTGCCGAACTATTATTTACATGCTGTACAGTGCAGTGGCGTAAGGTCAGGGCCAGGAAGGTCATCTCTGCCGGGACTCGAGGCAAAAATGTTGCAATATCTTCTATGTTCCCTTTCAACTCTAAACACGGTATTCTGATTACTATTGTGGTTGTGGAATAAGAATTAAGCAGGTTACCTCATTCATCTTTTCTTTTTGTCATGTAACAGCCTCTAATGAAATTGCTGTAAAAGTTTGCCAGGATGCATTTGTGAGATTACAAACCTGCATTCTTACAAAACAATCTACCTGGCAATGTTACAACTTCGGCAGCCCGCACCAGATATTGATCAATGGAAATTTCATAAAGGGGCTAAGAGGCCATTGGTGAGGATCAATCACAGGTTTCACCTTTGCTGTCAACGGGTAGTGGCGAGAACGGCGAGGAGCCATCTGTGAACAGACACATTTACTCACCGGTTCATTCACAAGTGTGAAGAAATAACACAAGTCTGTGCTAGCGAGAGATTAAAGCTTTTAAAAAGGAAGGAGAATGTTTTTTTTTTTTTTTCCCCAGCACATTAATTTGTACTAAACTGAGATCAGAGAGGGCTGAGTGGTGTTTATTTTTTTTTTTTTCACGAAATGTTCGATATGAAACATGCCGTGCTTCCCCGCCATTCTCCATTCAGAGAATGGAGGCTAGCCACACTGCGCTCGCCAGGCACAGCGTTTCACATGATCACTTTTCAAGTCGTAAATATTTTTTGTCATTTTACGCGGCAATTATGCATTTTCACCTCAAAGTGTGATGATGGTACAATCTGTCACTTAAAAGGGTGATATTCTCCCAAAAGTGTGATCTGCGATACAGATTTCATTGTAAAAGGTAAAAAGTTACTTTGCATAGGTTATCGTCATAATAAGTGGGGGGAGCTATTTTAGATGAATAAAGTGAAATGAAAACGTTAACGTGAATGAAAATGTTAACTGTATTAACAGGTTAAAAAAAAAAAAGGAAAAGAATTGAACATAAATAAAGTTGTATCAGTAACAGAAAAATGTCATATGGTAATAAAGTGAAAAAATAACAACGGTTATTTATTGAGAACGTGATAAAATTGTAAAAATAATGTTATTTTGTTTTGTTTTGTTTTGTTTTGTTGTATGATAAAAATGGATTTTGTTCAGACCATACATATACATACTCGGTTCTAGTGTCAGGTGTTTACACCTGACGGAGAATATAAGAACATTCCCGACTTCATCGCCTTTGCAATTAGATACAGGAATTCATCAGCACGACGATCATCTTCCTCACAAGCCTGGCAGATACTTGGAACTCGTCTTATGACGTCACTAATTGAGTGCTTTGTGCATCGGCCTCGGGTTGCATCACCATGCCGGAGGAAATACACTGCATCATTTAGCAAGCTGTCTCATGGCCAGTTGCAACATCATACTGCCGTATCCTAGCAACCGGCTAGAGGGAGGGCTCAATCAGGCAAAGCTTCACTTCCATCTGGTGTGTGTGTGTGTGTGTGTGTGTGTGTGTGTGTGTGTGTGTGTGTGTGTGTGTGTGTGTGTGTGTGTGTGTGTGTTAGCTCGCCGGGTAATGGATGAGTGTTGTAGAAAGGAGCGTGCCGGCTGGGTCCTGTGGGGACGATCAATATCAGCTCTGCATTTATCTCTAATTACCACAGCGCAACTTTTCTCTTTCTCCTTCTTTTGACTTTCTTTACACCGCCTGTTTCTGATTTTTCAACATCTTTTTCCCTCCCTCTTCTTCTCACATCATGCACTTCAGCGCTGATAGTTCCATTAGTTGCAGAACCTGCCCGCACTTCAGACTGCTGTGTTTAATCATTAGGAGTGGGTCAGCAAATTCACTCGCGATTCGGAGCAAGATTTGTCTTTTTGCCGGCTTGCCTCATTACACCAGTGTTTCAACAGAGGACTCTTCTTCACGTGTACCTACACAATCTAATGAGATCCCAGGTAGAAGTATTAGGGTCACACTGTAATGATTAAAAAATAACATTCAAATAATGTCAGAATACAGTAATCCATCCCCCTTCCATCGCAGGGGTTATATTCCAGACCACCACCACAATAAATGAAATTCACAATATAGAAATAACTTGTTTAATTACTCTCTACCAGGCATGTTTTTTTTGTAATATTTTTGGCTCATAATTTTTTAAAGGTCTTTAAACACACTTTGGGCGGCCTGGTGGTCCAGTGGTTAGCGCCTCGACCTCAGAGTGCAGAGGTACCGGGTTCAATTCCAGCTCCGGCCTCCCTGTGTGGAGTTTGCATGTTCTGCGTGGGTTTTCTCCGGGTAGTTTCCTCCCACATTCCAAAAACATGCATGGCAGCCTGATTGAACACTCAAAATTGTCCCTTGGTGTGAGTGTGAGCGCGGATGGTTGTTGGTTTCTGTGTGCCCTGCGATTGGCTGGCAACCAGTTCAGCGCGTCTCCCGCCTACTGCCCGAAGATGGCTGGGATCGGCTCCAGCACGCCCTGCGACCCTTGTGAGGATAAGCGGATCGGAAAATGGATGGATGAATGAACACACTTTTAAAATAATACAAACACATTTAAAAACAGAATATATTGAGAGAGAGCAAGATATATGGATATCACAAACAACTGTACATCAGAACAGATCTCCCTCTGTAAAGTAGTAGATAAACACATTTTTTTCCAAACTCACAAACTTATCGTCTCACAATATGCCTCATAATCATGGCAAAAGATTTACATTACAAAATGTACCTACAGCCGTCGCTTTCTGTGGGCACAAAAGGCAGGATTTCACAGTTAATCATTTTAACACAAAACAGGCTCTGCTGAAATGGTTGATGGAGGAATCACATCCAATACAAGGCAGAGTTACACCAAAATGATTATTCACTATAAAAAAATAAAATAAAAATAAACAGCAACATAACAGGAACACAAACCACGAACCTGCGATGGAGGTTGTAATATTACCAAAGTAACGTTGTAATATTAAGTAATATAAAGTTTATAATTTACCAAAAAAAGTTACAATATTACATAAACAAAGCTAAATTCTAAGCTTATGTTACCAGTCATAGACAATGTTTTCAAACCTGTCTCTTGTTCCCTCCCCCAACTGAAATGAATGCATAAATCCTCAGTGAGTCGTAATGTGTCTTTTGTCCTTTCCTGCCCTTCATCGCTTTTCTACGAGGAGTGCCGGGCCGCCTCCCATCGACAACGTCAGCCATACTTGCTTTATGAGCGCAGATGTGCTAATTGACCATGTCTTTCTTCCCATGCAGTGCTGAGCATCGGAGAAGGAGGCTTCTGGGAAGGCAGCGTCAAAGGGAGGACGGGCTGGTTTCCTGCCGACTGCGTGGAAGAAGTTCAGATGAGGCAGTTTGACCCTCGGCTAGGTAAGACACACATGCGAATAATCACTCGTCAACACATTAACGGTACACAAAACACATACATATATGGTGATTTTTGAAATATACATCTTTTTGGGAAACATTACATGAGGAAGAAAGTCAGAATGTTAATGTCATGTCGTATAATTAACAAATAAAAGTTGCATTCAAGGCAATCAAGGTATCAACATTTTAAAATAATTGTAATATGAGAGTAGTTGTAATTTGAGAGAAGAAAACTTCAACAAGATTCGAGTCTTAATTGTGCAAGTATCTGTTCTTTTCTTTAGGGAAATTTTGTGAGTACTTTTTACACCTCTTCAAATGACAATGCGTAGTTTCTGTTGTCGTAATGACTTTTAACCAAAGTACAAGATTTAAATGAGTGCTTCTAGTTTAGTATATGTATGGTACTTCTACTGAAATACATGAATTGAGAACTTTTGCCACCTCTGGTAATGGCAACCACAATTAGTAGTCGAAGCAATAAGTGAGAGGTTGTAAACAAAGTTCAGGTGCTTGTTTTACCGTCGTCATTTTCTTTATACAAGTACTGTATCTGTATTTCTACTTAAGTACAGAGTTGGAGTACTTTTGTCACCTCTGGTCTTGTAGAATCTAAGGATCTATTTCCTCAGCAAAAGTGTTTTGTGAGGGGGATTGCAGTTTCCCCTGTTGTTGGGTGTAGAGCGATGAGAAAAGGGCGGACTCCCTAAATACACGATTTAAATGCATTGTCGGTCGGGAAAGGACACGAGGCAGGCGGGTAAGAAAGAAAGAAAGGGATGCAGAAAGCAGCAAGACGTATGATGGAGACAACTCTGCAGGACAGCCAAGTGAATGCAGCCGAGCGTCACTTTTCACAGGGGGAGGTAGAAACTAGCGCCCGTATTACACGCCACTCACTCAGCAGCATGGACGTGTCACACACGTATTTGACTACACATTTGGGATCTTGTGACCGCAACAGAAATAAAAAAAGGACACAACACAGATAAAAAAAACCCACCAGTGAGTTTCAATGCGCTCAGGAAAGACGATAAATAAATTCATGTCATTTGAATGAGTAGACATGTACTTAATTATCTTTTTTTCCCCTTTGGAGCACGACACAAGGACATTCGAAAGAGCAAACCATTCAAGAAATCTCCCTTTCACCATCATTGAAATTAATATTACGGAAAAGATTGTAAAGTATCTGTTCTTTTCTTTAGGGAAATTTTGTGAGTACTTTTTACACCTCTACAGATGATAATGCGTAGTTTCTGTTGTCGTAATGACTTTTTACCAAAGTGCAAGATTTGAATGAGTGCTTCTAGTCTAGTATATGTACTTCTACTGAAATACATGAAGTGAGAACTTTTGCCACCTCTGGTAATGGCAATCACAATTAGTAGTAGAAGCAATAAGTGAGAGGTTGTAAACAAAGTTCAGGTGCTTGTTTTACCATCGTCATTTTCTTTATACAAGTACTGTATCTGTATTTCTACTTAAGTACAGAGTTGGAGTACTTTTGTCACCTCTGGTCTTGTAGAATCTAAGGATCTATTTCCTCAGCAAAAGTGTTTTGTGAGGGGGATTGCAGTTTCCCCTGTTGTTGGGTGTAGAGCGATGAGAAAAGGGCGGACTCCCTAAATACACGATTTAAATGCATTGTCGGTCGGGAAAGGACACGAGGCAGGCGGGTAAGAAAGAAAGAAAGGGATGCAGAAAGCAGCAAGACGTATGATGGAGACAACTCTGCAGGACAGCCAAGTGAATGCAGCCGAGCGTCACTTTTCACAGGGGGAGGTAGAAACTAGCGCCCGTATTACACGCCACTCACTCAGCAGCATGGACGTGTCACACACGTATTTGACTACACATTTGGGATCTTGTGACCGCAACAGAAATAAAAAAAGGACACAACACAGATAAAAAAAACCCACCAGTGAGTTTCAATGCGCTCAGGAAAGACGATAAATAAATTCATGTCATTTGAATGAGTAGACATGTACTTAATTATCTTTTTTTCCCCTTTGGAGCACGACACAAGGACATTCGAAAGAGCAAACCATTCAAGAAATCTCCCTTTCACCATCATTGAAATTAATATTACGGAAAAGATTGTAAATGAATTGCATGGCTCGTTTGGCTTGAAATAATATCGGCGTACAACATTTTATTTTTGTTTTATTTGTCAGATTTACAATCCATAAACCGCTTGAAACTACCACACACATTTTACCTCCTGGAGAATTTTTTGGTTTCCTCACCGTGAATGATGATATGTATCGCCTCCCATTTCTAGACAGCAGGAGTCTTTATATTGCGGATTTTCACCCAATAAATGGGAATTAACTGTATAATTACATACTTACATCACCTTATTATATTCCATTGTGCTATTAGTGTGTGGTGCAGTCCAAAACGATTGAAATGAAATGAAATGAAATGAAATGGCGGTGTAATCTTTTTACCAAATAAAATGCTAATTTGTGAGGAACACTGAGGCATGGATAAATTAATCTCTTCCCCAGACTCATCAACTCTGAGTCATTATCACAGACAAACACACCAATGGCTCTTATTTACCGGAAGCTAAGCATTGAGGCGTCATTGACAGTTAGGCCAATACGTCTCAGCCTAGTGGAGCAGGCAAGACGGCGCCACCTACAACTGAGTTGAAGCCACATTCTTCCCTTTTTTCTTTTCCCTCTCTGCCCACTTATCAGTCATCCCTCTGAGGGCTCCATCACTCTGCTCTTAAAATGGACCCTGGGAAGTCCCCCCCCCCCCCACCCA